ATATAGTTAAAAGATAAATAATATTTGAATAGAAGAATGCATAATACAGCATTTTTTTTAACATTATCACTGCAGATAAAGGAAATTCTTCTAAAAACACCAACATATGGTCTTAATTTTTTTATTAAATTATCTATCAGATGAAAAACCTCTAGACGAGGTTAAAATGGAGTAACGCGTCACGACTTTTGGACGGCAAAACGCTTGAAAGTTTGACTTGGAGACTAAATTCAAAAGTCGTGACGCGATATTTTTCCTTATTGTAAATAAATTTTCACAATAGTGAATGCGAAAAACACTTTTGAACTTCGTACCCAGAGATAATACAGCGTCCTAGCGTCACTCAAAATGATATCAGTCATTTTGAGTGGTAAATCCACGCACAAGAGCGTCACTCCATTTTAACCTCGTCTAGAGGTTTTTCATCTGATATCACTACTTTTGTAAGGCAATTATTCTCGGAAAAAAAATACTTTTGCCAGAAATATGTCTATTTTAAGGTCTTATCATTGGGAAATTGTAATTTTTCGGGTAAAACATTTGCATCCACATTGCACAAGTTTTGTAAATAGCAAATTTCCACTTTCATTTAAAAAGTCCCATTTTCCCCTTATTGGACATTGTAAAATGTGATTAAATTTCAAAATATCCATTTAAAGAGTTTTGAAGTAATTTTGTACCCATTACTTCATTGAAACATATTAATTTCCAACCACCAAAGCTCTGTAAAGTGCATATTTTATGTATCCCCCGAACAAAAGTTCAATTTCATACATTCAGATGCCAAAATGCCGATTTATGACCAAAATGACAACGAAATGGATATTCAAGTGTTCGTGGACTCCCATTATTTTCACGAAAAAATAGCAGTTTTATAAGACCAAAACGACGTCAGAGGTGTATTTCATGTGTTTTCCGAACAAAAATGTCATTTTCAGTAAAAATAGAGCAAGTTGAAAAATTCACTTCAATCTGACCTATTTTTCGACCATGAAATGCCCTCAGATCGCATTGTGACCACTTTTAATCGATTGCTCGTCGAAAATTGAGCGGATATGGTCTTTCGTGAGCCTTTTTCAGCTAGTAGAGCGTATTTTTGGCAGCAATTTCATCGTAGAATGCGACTCTTCGTACAAATTCCGTTCATTGATGAATTGCCTATGCCCAGAACTTCTAAATACGAATTTTCCCGGATATGTGGCATATGCCATTTTGTTGGTATAGTAGCCGGCTACAAACGCTCAGTTTTTGGTAAAACATTGTCGGGCTGATTTTTGAGAAATCGCGTTTGGTGTGAAATTTAAGGGGGTCGATTTTTCATAAAAATCGACTTTTTTCTTTTATATCACATAAACATTGGCATGTGTGTATGGAATTTTTTGAAGGTCTTCTCAAATGATAACGAGCTGACTTGGCCCGATGGGCGTCTGAGTTGATCTAGTGTGCGAAATAAATACTTGAAAAAATCGTATACATGCAGGCTAGCGAAGCCATAGCCAGCTCTCCTGTAATGCAAATGTCAATCTGAGGACGGATTTCAACGTGCCCCGACACTAGCTACAACTAAGGCATATGCGCATTGGAAACCGAAGAAGGTGCGGACGAACGAACGGACGCACATCCAAATCAATAGTTTCATAGAAAACCATGGTCAAACTGCCAATCCCCATAACTTTTTCGTTTTTGGACCAATCGGGATGCTTAGACCGACGTTGGAAAGGTGGCGAGGTGGAACTTCTCTTGGACACCTCAGACCACCCCCTGGGTACCCCCTTCGTAAGATATAGATTTGAAAATTTATCGAAATTTTCCAACCACTATATTTTTGCCTAGACCACACCTTAGGCATGGGGGATTGGTGTTTCCGACTATTTGGGCCAAGACCTTTCCAACGGTACATAACATGCCGGGCCCAAATAGTGTCCTGAGAAAATAGCATATTTACTGTATATATACTCGTGACGCAAAAACTGGCATTTTTTGATATTTGGCTTGAAATGCGCAGTCTATGGTGCGTCACTTGTCGGACTACCGTCCTCCGTGATCATGTAATGATATTAAATCATCCGAGATATAAGTGATTGATGAATCATCGGCATAACATTGGAGTTGACCATTCAGTTTTAGCTCAAATAGATCATTTATATAAATTAAAAATAAGAGAGGCCCGAGTTTTGAGCCCTGTGCCACTCCGAATTCTGTTAAAATATCAAGTAACAGAACAAAAAATTGTATATTTTTATACTGAAACTTCCTGAAATTGCGTTAAAATAAAATAAAGAGCGATATGTTTTTCTATCGAACGAATTGATTGCGGACAATCTGTTTTGCTTTCATCATTTTTAACTCAAAAGACGGCGTTAGATGGTGCAATGTGATTTGTTGATTGTACAATGAATTTTTGTGTTTCGTCTCAAATTCAGCTGGAATTTCAGCTGATCGATGGATTCTCAGGATTTGACCTGATTCTACCACTTCAATTTCTTTGCGTTGTGGTAAAATTCCATACAAAACATAGGGAATACGACTTTACAGATGCACATAAAAAAGGAAGCACTGGAACCTGGTCAAATCCTGAGAATCCATAGATCAGCTGAAATTCCACCGGATTTGTATTCTAGGCCATCAAACCAGCTGGGTGTTTACACTCCCCTTGGGAGTGACATCACGGTTCGTTTTGCCGATTTACCCAGCCGTTTTCGAGATATTTCCATGCGTAAATAATTAATAATATTATATTCAATTGAATTGGTCTATATGGAAGACAATCGAGCGCCGAAAACTTATGCTGTTTCGCTCACACTCATTATGTGCAATTTTTACTCGTATTACAAGCTGTTGTGTTACGAACAACAGGGCCGCTCGCTTCGTTTATCTTGAAAATTTACGCGCAATAAATGTTGCACACACAAACATGAAAAATGAGCTCCGAGGTTTTCATACAAACTTCCCATGTAGACGGTCCAACACAGGCAAAAAAAGTTAAAAAAAATTTTCGATTCTCATACAGTATTCAATGTGCCCAATCCATTGGTGCTATCGGCACATCGAAATTCGCACTCGTTATCAACTTATCATAATTTTGAAACAGACTGCATCATGCCCGAAATTAGATTCAAAGAGAAACAACACCAATTTGAGAAACAAAGTGCCACAAAGCAAGTTTCGGCTTTAAACTGCAACATGAATTTTTATGTTGCACTTTGTTTCTCACATTTGCTTTGTGTCGCTTTGGTAAAAAAATTGGGTTGTTGCTCTTTGTTCGTAGACAAATGCCATGCTTCGATTCAATTCTCAAATATTCTGAGGGAATTTTTTTGTCTCAATGGTTCAAATATCAAAGACAGAAATCGTCAACGTCAAATATCATTTGAACAAACCTTAACGATACAACAGACTGTTGACATTGTGTTGATACGTCTTAAATCGCATAAATGTTTGCATATAGGCGTCATTATGTGCACGCGTATTCGCTTCTATGCGTAAATGCGTCTTCACTGTGGCACACAATCTATGCGCGTTTATGCGCACGTATACGAAAGATTAAAAAGCCCCTAGTTTTTCTGTATCATGTATGATTTCTTGGATAAGATTTGTTCAGAGAACTTTTTCTTTCCATCTCAAACTTTATTTTCACCCAAAAAACTCATTAGAAATTTTGAATAGATTACGCGATATCGCCATCGTTACCCATTTTGGTCAAATTGGCTACGACCGGGGCAAAGAAAATGCAAAGTTTCAACTCGAATTGAAGGTCTGGGACTTGGCCAACATATCACATTAGAAACAACTTTCCATTAACCCTATTTAATACCTTTATTGTAAAAAAAAAAACATTTTTTGACAATTTTTTCCTAATTTTTCGCCAAAATTGATGAATTTTCACAATGAAATGGATTTTATTTGTACACGATGTTTTTAGGATATATGTTGTATCGAAATTCCACCACTAGGGTTGGTCGATTGGCCATTTTATTTTTAATGTCAAGATAAACAATTTCTGACTTGGAAATTTTCTCTAGGATAACTTCCTGGGTTGCGCAGTCTAACTTTGTAACGGCCATTTTTTGACTGATTTTCTTGTGATCATGCAATAGTCCAATATATTAGGAAAATTGGTCAAAAATGGCAATTTGGGCAATTCTATGCTTCTATCGGACACAAAATAGCATTTAAGTTGCTTGAAAGTAGTCTCTCTTATCGCAATTTTTCAAAAGGAATCCAAATGAAGTGTCAGAAGTTGAATATAATCTGAAAAAAAAGATAAAATTCTACCAAAATCACAAGAAAATCAGTTAAAAAATGGCCGTTACAAAGTAAGACTTCGCAACCCAGGGAGTTATCTTAGAGAAAATGTCTACATCAGAAACTGTTTATCTAAATCGAACCACCCTATTATTGGAACTTATTTTACCAAACGCGTTTCTGTAATCCAACCAAATGTTTATTACATAACTTTAGCGTAACTTCAAACTTTAGTTTAAGATCAGTCATTTTGAGGTCGGTTGTGAATCTGTATTGTCGGAATAGTTTCGATAACACCACCTTTATGGAAAGTAATGCATACTGATAACCTGAAAATGAAAAGATTTTTTGCTTAAAATATATTTTTATAGACAAAAAATTATAGCGACTTTTGAGCAACAAAACTAAGGAAATGAGAAAGAACCGTGCCCCCATTTTTATGGGAGTTGGGCCATATGGCGTCCATTAATGAGACTGGTGCCGATGGATAGGGCGCAGCGAGTATAACAAAAATACTGTCACTTTTCTTGGGGCTGATCTTCAAGTCTGGGGTGCATGAAACGTCGAAAATTGAAAAAACCGAAAAATACCCTAATTTGGGGGTGAAATTAAATTTACCCCCAAAACCGATTGCATATTTGAATTGCCCCTTAAAAGTTGGCTATAGGTTCCATACAACAAAACCCTGATCCGATTACTCCCAAAACTGTCAATCGCTCTTTAAAGATAAGGCTAAACATCGGAGTGTCAATAATAATATAGGGCCAAACTTTGAAAACCAGTACTAGCTTCACACCACCATAAAAAACCCCGCCCACAACTTAGGGCCTTCAAACACATATATTATTGTTACATTCGCTGCGCCCTATCCATCGGTACGAGTCTCATTGCTGGACGCCACAGTTCTTTTTTTTAATGTGAATAATTTGTTCCCACTTTAAACCAACCAATGCAATTTCTTTTTCCGCCGCTGAATGGTAAGTAGGCGAACGGATGTCTTTCATCGACCTTTTCTGGTAAAAAGTGATCGGGATTGAATTCATCAGCATCGTCTCCCCAAATTTCAGGCTTCTAAAATTCAAAACGAGGAAATATTATCAAGTTCGTATTTTCAATATTTGCCATAAGTTTAGCCGTGCTCACCCGATGCATGTTATAAATGGACATCATAATAAAAGCATTCTTTGGTACGGTGCAATTGCTGATTGGAACGTCAGCCCGAGTACAACGAGCAATCAGTGGTGCCGATGGAAATAAACGCATCACTTCATTAATAACTCGATCCAAGAAGGTCAATTGTTGAAGGTGTTCATATGATGTCTCTTCATCTTGGGACACAAAAACCGAATGCAATTCTTCATACAATCGTTCCTGCACATTTGGATGCATCGCTAGCATAAGGATCACATAAGAAAGACTCAGCGCTGATGTTTCGCTGCCGGCCTATTAGAATAATTTCTTTTGATGATTGCTGTAATTTTGGCAAAAAAATGCAACTATCGATGTAACGGGACCATTTATTTACCATCAACACGGTTTCAATTTGCTCCTTGATCATTTTCTCGTTGAATTTCCCCAGAGACAACAAACGAAACAATTGATCGATTAGCACTTGAGGTGTTTTGTACGAGTCTTCTGAATCTTCTGATATGACATTTTGCACACGGCTTTTTACCGGATTTGAAAAGTATTCCTCCTTTTTCATGTCGAATACCTGAACATATTTGTTAAATTTAAAACAGAATAATTTTGAAAATATAATAAGTTTTTATTAAAGAAAATAATTTCTCTCAAATGGCTTAAAATTCACGGCTTCTAATCAGAGCATTGAAGTTGCTGGCTATGTAGCACTGCTGGTGAACAGCTGTGACAGGCGCTTGTTCATCTAACGATTCTCAAATATAGTATTTGTCCCTTGCATTCTCAAGAAAACAGACAGAGAAGCGTATGCAACAGACTCCGAGAGAGATTTTTATCTTGTTCATTTACCGTTATTTGTCAACAAGTCTGCCTATATCCACGCATCGCCACTTTACATAGTATACAGTCGATAAGAAATGTAAAATGTTCGCCATTTAGTTTTATATTGCCAATGCATTAGTTATGGGGATTTTTGTTTTGTTTATTTTTTGTTGTTTGTAAACAAATCTTTTTGTATTGCACTGTACATAGTATATGTCCATGAAAAATACACAGAGACGATGCAAAAAGATAGGCAGATTTGTTTATAAACAACAGAAAATAAACAAAACAAAAATTCCCATAACTAATGCATTGGCAATATAAAACTAAATGGCGATCATTTTACATTTCTTATGGACTGTATACTATGTAAAGCGGCGATGCGTGGATTTAGGCAGCGTTGTTGACAAATAACGGTAAATGAACAAGATAAAAATCCCTC